GAAGGGTGGGGCTTATTTCCGAAGAGGCAGATTCGAGGGCGAACATTTTGAGGAACTCCAGTAATTAACCGGCACAGATCTCAGATAGGTAATTCGATCCTGGCGAGAGGGAGCGGACTGGCGAAGCCAAAAGTAAAATCAACTCCATCAGAGCAAGGAATTCGGGAAGGGCTGACAGCTCAGCGCCCCGGGATGAGTTAAACGGAGAAGCATTCATTTAACAAAAAGATCCTCACACCTACCTCGAAAGCTTGGGAGCCTGGCACGGCGCTAGCTGCCCTCAAAAGTCTCAATTTGATTACCCTGCTCTCGCTTTGGCAACACAAAGCCTTGCCAAGCTGCTGTGCGCCCTCCCTCCCTGCCGCGCCGTGGGCACAATCGCCCCAAAATAGTTCCCCCCCGTAGGTACCACGGCGCTGAGGTAGGTCAGCTGACGAGGGGAGCCCGCAGAACTGCGGTCACACATGAAATAACAGAGCCGGAGGGAGGCGGCCGCCCTGGCGCCCGGTGACAGCGGGCTCACCTCGGGCGTCCTCCCGGGAGCGCGGCGAGCGCCCCCGTGGCCGCCCAGAAACGTGCCGGGAGAGGCTCGGTCCCTCCCCACCCTCCTGGGAGTGCCGTCTGGGCACGGAAAACGCTGGACCTGCAGGGCCAGTGGGCGAACACACACCCCTCTACCCTCCCCTACCCCGCCTCCGCCCCCCCTCCCCCGAAACACACCCCAAATATCATGCTGGAAGGCGTCCACTTTCCGTGGAATAATTTCAAACTAAAACATCAAATGGCTTGTTCCGAGGAGACTGGGGTGGGGGTGGGGGGAAGAGGGCGAGAGATAGTTGTTAATGCTTAACGTGTTTGTGCCGGTTACACGACCGCTTTGAAATCCGCCCGGGCAGATCTGTAAGTCATTTGAATGTATTATTCCAGTAGCTGTCATTTATCACTTTATTCAACACGTCTTTGCCAACTCAATAGCTTTTGATCTCACTCAGCCTCCATTTCGTAATTTCCGCCCTCTTAAGCATATCAAATACTTTATATATATATATATATATATATATATATATGAACAATATCGAAACCCACCAAAAGAAATTCACCCAGCCTCGACCGAGCCAGAAACGAAGGTAAATTTTCAAAAGACAAAAAAAAAAAAAAATTTTTAAAAGCACGTGATGTTCAAGCAGCAGTAGGAGAGCGAACTATCTGACACACACACACACACACAGATCCTTGAACAAAACCCTTCTCGAACAAGTTATTTGATCTTGACTAAAATCAGCAGTTGGATCCTCTTTGTAAAGCTGACAGCCAAACTCTGACAATGGCAAAATACTCGAGCCCCAGCTAGTGGCGCTACCCCTTTAAAAAAGGAGTCGATCTTGCTCGTCTGCAGAAGTGAATACAGTATTTTCAAGCTTGCCCTGTAATAAGCATTACTAGGGGGAAAAAATTAATAAAGAAAGAAGAGAGGGAGAGATAGGTTTACCACCTCGCCGTGGTCGCTATTTCTGCCCTGGGGAGTGTCTTCTGGGAGGAAATAAAGTTTAGAGCTGGATAAAAGTTGCCGGCTGGTCCTCTCTTCCCACAACAGCTGGAGCTCCGCTATGCAAATCGGATCCTTTGGCGTACATCTTACAAAGAAAAAGTCGCCAAGGGACAAAATTCTTGGTTTGCCTTCAAGGTGGAATTGAAAAGCCTTGTAGAAAATGTAAGGTCCGTGCAAGCCACACGGTGAGCCGACCCACTGCAGGGGGGGGAAAAAAAAACACCAAATAAATAATGTAGCCATCAGAGCACATACATCTATTCCCAGACACATTTACACACAAACATCCACACTCTTAATACAGACGAGCCAACAGATATAACGTTGGGTGGAAAAATAATAGAGCCCACAAATTTTCTGCCTCCCTTAAAAAAATTAAAAAAAAAAAAAACACAAAAAACTCCAGGGGAGCCACCCCCCCCCAACTCCCCATTTGAGGCGGTAAAATTACATTATGTATGTATAATCAGTGCTAGGGTTTTTTAAACAATAAAAATGATTTGGGAGATGCAGAGGGTAAAAGTTTGGTGAAAAGTTTGTGGGGGGTGTGGGTGGGTGCAGAGGTGTGGGTAAGCTGGGGTGTTGGGGGCTACCGAGGGGTATCGGAATCGGAAGAGCGGAGGAGAGCGAAATACCTGGAGTGAGTTGGGCTCCATCTCGACGTTCTGAATTGATTGAACTCAACATTCTCTCCAAACTTGTTGGCTTGAATGGATTGCATCAGGTCCTGGCAGGTAAAAACATTCTCTGCCTTCAGCCGGGATAATGTCCCAATATAAAACTGAGCTCTTGCCTCCCTTTTGGCACCAAAATGATTAAAAATGTGTCCTAATATTTCTCTGGCAACTCAATTTTCAGATCTTGTCAAAACTGTGTAGATTTCCTTCCAAATATGTGTTGATCAAATTCATAATCGGCAGAAAGGCTCCGTCCGATATCGGCGGGAAGTGGATGGATCAAGGCAAAAAACATATAGGAAGATCTGTAAAAATAAAATCCATTCTGTAACTATGTGACAATGCTATCTCACTCTTCCCAACCGCTCCAGTCTAGAGGTGCTGCCTAATAAGATTTTTGGAAGAGCTCAGGGGTAGCGACCTCCGCTGTGCATCTGACAGGACCTGCTTGTATATGTCTAATATAAAGAACATTTCCTGCAGAGATTCCGGGGCGCTGCTCCTCTTTCTAATGCTCCTTAGCAGATTTTCTGTTATTAGACATGTAGATTTGTTTGATAGTTAAATTACGCTTCCTCACTGGCATGTTTTCGAGAACTAATCTGTTAAATTATCTTTTGATGCCTATTTACATGGAAGGGAAAAGTGGGTTATCGATTATATAAACATATAAATATTAATGCATTTGTTCGCTTTGCAAAAAAATACTCAGCAAAAAAAAAAAAAAAAGGAACAGAAAGACAAGTGAACAGAGCACACACATCTCAGGATTTTGCAAACAATATTGAACGGACAGAGACTGCATTTAGGGACTGGAACAATAAACGATGCATGATAAATCAATAAAAGCGGGCAGCGAGTCTGCTCGGAATATGAATTCAGGCTCCCGGTTCTGAGTGTGCATTCTTTAATTTTGAAGTATATACACTAGTACGTGTTTACAATGCTGATGGACGCCAAGGGCGCTCTCAAATGATAATGTGTTTATATAACCCAGCGCTACAGGAATAATATACCGACTCTTACCCCACCCCCACCCCTCCCCCGCCAAAAAAGGGAGGGGAGCTTCCTCAATAATAGTTTGAAACTGAAAAAATCCATTTGCAAACTAGTTAAATACAACCAGAAATTAAGCTGTTGAAAACCGAGGGCATGAACCGTAAGACAATAAAGGCTTTAAATGTGTATATTTATTGTTCTGGAGCCCTGGAGCATTGCGAGGTTTGCATGCACGGCTATTATGCAAACACAGAGAAACTTAAGAGCGACAGAACAAGGAACAGGCAGGCAGAGACTGCAAAGCCCTCTCTCGCTCCGACCCAGCTGCCGGTCCTCGGGCAGGCTAGATTGCATTTTCGCAGTGTTGATGTAAAATGGTGTACTCGCTTCCCCCACACTCCCCCACCCCCTTCGCCACTCTCCTCCCACTTCTTCCAGCCCACCCCCACAACCCCCGGATTTTATTATATTGGCACCAATCTTTCTAAAGTGGATCTGGAATGCTAAAAAAGTAAACATGTAATATATGGGGAATAAGGTCTGTATAGTATGACAGTTGAAACTTGATCTGTGATAAAATTACAGGATGTTGAAATTACTAGTAAGCTATTTTTAACGCTTTCGCAACGTTTCAACAGCATCTAGTTGAAACAGGATTACTTTAATGAAAATTATATTCACATGGCTGAAGTTAATACACTCGGCAGAGCACAAATGCCTCATATTCAGTGATTTGAGGTGGAAAGACCCTCTGTGTGTATTTTTATGCCTTTTCATAACGTCTGCGTCCGCTGCAGTAAGAATTAGGGCACTTAAACATTATCTAAACCACATTTTTTATTCAGAACATGGGGAAGTAATAAAAGGCAAGATCTATCTCGTTTCTATACACACAGAGATAAACGAAAGAAAATGGCAGATCCTCCAATTACAATAAGTAATAAAAACCCAAGCCAAATAGCCGGTATTGTGAAAGCTGTCGAAAACTATTTTAATAATTTAAAGTAATATCACAACTCTGTACCATTGAGGAAGACAATGTAAAAATCCCCAGTTTCCCATCTTTTGCATTAGCCAAATTATGACTTATACATCACTCTTTAATTATCTTCCTTGAAATTTCATCTGATCTTCCTATTTTATAAACATAGGTTACAAAGAGAAATTACAGCTCTCTGGCTCTTTTTAACTTTATGATGCATACTGCAGACGTTTGATTAGAATAACCCATTTTTTCTTTCTTTTTTTTTTTTTTACAAATGAATGGACTTGACTGAAGGGCATTTTAACGTGTTTGGTTTCTTTTAAGGAGTGAAGCTTAAGGCTCTGCTACTCTCTGTCCTGTTAGTGTAAATATACATACCCAGTTTTTTTAAATCCTATATTTAAAACTTAAGTTGCAGTATTTTGACAAGATCATTTTTGAGATGGACTCTGAGTCAGTTTCCTGTATGACCAATGCAGCAGCATTTATGGAGGAAACCTCAATAGAATGCCTGAGGGTATCCCTGGTTGTATATTAAATCTCTCTTAAAAAATGCACAGCTCTTTATATCATCTAAACAACTTCTGTTATCTTTGGTACTATAAGTCTTTTAAGTGTCTATAAGGGACTTCGTCTAATTAGAAATCCTGTTTCTATGTTTCTTCAAGGTAGGCGCTGAACTAGCCAGCATGCTGCGTAATCTCTCTTCTCATGAATTCCCCAATAAGGTTTTTGAGATGTTAACAATTGCAGGGATCCAGGTCTGAATATTTCTGAATATCTGCAGTCTTGTAATCAGATGAATGCTAAATTTCAAAACTAAGTCACAGGGGTATCTTCCCCTTCTTTTTTACATCACCACCACGGCCAATATGACCATAATAAATCTAATAAATCAAACCTCTGGTCCAACCATGTGAATGGCTTTTAAAATTACAGATCACAATGGTGTGTGTTTACCAAAAATAAGTAAATAAAAATAAAACCCCCTCTATTTTACCTCTTCTTTAATGTGATGCTTTTGGTAGGCACCTGTAAATTATCTGTGTAGCAAATATCCATACAAAGAAAGTTTCAATTAAGATAAGGAGATTGTATTGAAACAGTTCTTTGAAGTAATGTAGTTAATAGCCTGTTTGATTTCTGCTTGTGAGAGAGTAATAACGTGGATTCAAGGCTCCATCAATCACAGAGCAGATGTAAGACTTGAGACACCGACACCCAGGGGAATAGAGGCAAACTCCTGCAATGCAGGGTCCCTGGGCTAATGTAAAGTAAATACTCATAAACAGATTGAATGTTGTAAGAAGACAATCCATTCAGGACAGTTATAATCATGAAAGCAACTGCTTTTTTTTTTTTTTTTTTAACGCTTATAGCTGGGACTTAGTGTGTATAAAAGAGGATTTGGGGGAAAGGCAGTATACATTTATATGACCCACTATTTCTGGGCTGCTTCGAGTACTGACACACAGAAACTTATACGCATACATCTGTTTTTCTGTTGTGTTGCTAGTTAGAAATCTAACTCTGTTTTATCAGGTTTATTTAAAAAGTAAATAATTTAGGAATCATCCGCACCCCCTCAAGAGGGTGGGGGAGCAGAAAACACATTACTCGGGTGTCTGTGAATCCTTTCATAAAGGATCAAGCGGATTAAGTGAGTTGCAAAAACCAGCAGTGACATAATTAGGCAGCTTGGTCTATAATAAACAAGATCATAAAAATAAGTAAATTAATTAAAAGTACATTTGAAGAAAGAGGGCCACCATTTCGAAAATACAAACCTCTCTGCGTACTCCTCCCCCAAATTGCAAAAGACAACTGAAGCATTTTTGACCTTGGCTACAATAATACTTCATGTTTTAGCACTTTAGTCAGCATTTTATCTACTAATTGCTACACACTACCGCATGTGGCTCGAATCTGCCACTGCAGCTTCCTTTCATTGGTGAGCGAATTGCTTGATAAAGACTGGGAATTCAACCTGACTGTTTCCTAGCTGGCTCCCCCTCAGCCCCCCTCCCTCCCCTGCCTTCAGCTAGAAGCTGCTAATTTTTCCAGAAAATACTGCATGGATCAGAACAGAAACGGTGTATCTCCACCCACCGGTTAAACATGGGCCACTTAAGCGATCCGAAGGCAAAACGGGGATGAAGGGAGGGGGTGACTGAGTGGGGGCAAAACGAGGGAGGTACAGGGACTGTTAGTGGACATCAAGCCAGATTGATTCTGCACATCGCCCCCTCGGCTAGCCCATCGCCTGTTGAAAGGCCGTGGGGCTCCACGCAGCCCACCAAGGATCTTGAGTTAGGGGCTCTCCCCCTCCTTTGGTTAATAAGTCGTGGGAGAAGGGGCTGTCCCAAAGTGTGCAGGTTCATTCGTGGACTAGCAAAGCAGTACTACAGATAAGGTTAGCCATTGCCTGGTTCCCCCCTCCTCCAAGCCTGGCGCCATCATGGGGAGGTAGGTGGGTGGCGTTATTAATAAGGCAGCCTCCAGCAGAGCGGGCTCGCCAAGTCTTACAGCAACAAGTCTATTGGTTTGAAGGAGGATAAACCGGGTTATATGGGTCATTGCTTTCGATGAGACCTCTAGTGGTCAAAGGTTGAGCTACATCTTAAATTTAGGGCTCTTGGTTGTCTGCTGCCAGAAATTCAAGCTGGACTCAAAAGAGGACATGGAAAGAGGGATATCATTATTGATAATCCGATTGGCATTGGAAGAAAGCGGAGAATACCAGAAAAATGTTTACCTGTGTGTTATTGATTATGCAAAGGCACTCGACTGTGTGACTCACAACAAATTATGGATAACATTGCAAAGAACTGGATTCTAGAACACTTCATTGTGCTCTTGGAGAACCTGTACATAGACCAAGAGGCAGTTGTTAGAACAAGTAAGGGGATTTTACTTGATTTAAATCAGGAAAGATGTGTGTGTCAGGATTGTATCCTTTCAACATGCGTTTGCAATCTGTATGTTGAACAAATGATCCAAGAAAATAGATTATATGAAGAAGAACAAGGCATCATGATTGGAAGAAGACCCATGAACAACTTGACATATGTAAATGACATGCGCTTGCTAACAGTGAAGACAACTTGAAGCACTTATTGATGAAGATCAAAGACTACAGCTTTTATTATGGATTATACTTTAACATAATTTTTTTTTTTAATCCTCACATCGGGACCAATAAGCAAAATCATGATAAAGGGAGAAAATATGGAAGTTGTCATGGATTTCACTTTACATGGATCCATAATCAATACACATGGAAAAAGCAAACAAGAAATCAAACTATGTATTGTATTGGGCAAATCTGCCTTAAAAGACCTCTTTAAAGTGTTAATAGCAAGGATGCTACCTTGAAGGCTAAGGGACACCTTACCCAAGCCATGGCTTTTTCAACTACTTCTTATGCATGAAAATGCTGGATACTGGGGCGG